TACCTTATTCTTATTCATCCTTGAAACTGAGTACAGTCACTGCCACTACCTCTGGAAAGTCTTCCAGGACACATCAACCCAGCTGGAGGGAGCTGCTTTCCCTGTGGGCTCTCTGGTGAATTGGCACCCCTAGGAGGAAAGACAGGTATGCCCTGTCCCTGGCTTTTCCCCCTGCCTTTGAGTTCCTTACAACTGATCTTTTATCTTGCACATAGCTGGTACCTAGGACCCTGCCTGCTATATGCTGGACACTAAATGCATGTATTATATATCAAATTTTTGTGGCAGGTTCAATGGTAGATAAAAATTGACTTTTTGATTACACTGTACAGGAATGCAGGATGATCAAGAACATTCAAAATAATGTCTGAACACTTATTCCTGATAGCGTTATAGAAGGGAACAACTGACACAGTTAGGCAATAGGTAATACACAGAAGGCTGCTAGAGTTAAACAACTTTAGTTTAAAACAAATTCATTCATTCATTCAACAAACATTAAGGGGTATATTTAAAGCCAGGTGCTGAGCTAGTCTGCAGGAACTGAAAGAAAAAAGGCTCCGGGGTGCTAGGATCATACAGCTATAACAAAGTGAGCTAGGCACCCAGCACAGTGCATACGTGGTGTGGTAACACACTCAAGACATGCGCAAGCTCCACAGTCAGACAAGGTCTACTGCTGTATCGGTGTGATGCAGGGTAGATACTTATTCTTTCTATGCCTCAGATCTTTCCTTGGAGCAACTCTCATCTCACTTTGTTCTGAGAGTTAAATCACATAATCCCTGTAAAGTATTTACAACAATACCCGGGCTATGCTAACTACTTAGTAAGTGTCAATGCTTCCGCTACTGCTATGTGTTAGCAATAGTAGATTCAGAAAGATATCCTACTTAATGAGGGAGAGTGAAAGGGAGTATATTTTTAGGTTTTCTTCCTGATTACTATGTAAAATATTAACCCATTAGTTAGCCACATTAGAGAATAAAGTTTAAAGATAAATCACCTGTGTCCCCACATTAACATTTTGGTGCAGTTTTCCACAATTTTTCACTTACTTTCAAAGGATCATACTTTACAGACTAGCTGGTATCACATTTTCCTACTAATACTATTGTTAAATATATTTCAGACCCTAACTCTTCACAACTCCAGGTATCTATTGTATAACTGCACACTGTATAACTGCACACTGTGTTTAGTCATTGCTCACAGGTTATTTTCCTTCACTCTATTAGAAATAATACTTCCTCTCTCTCCCCAGACTATTAGGAGACAGTGAAATCAACAGATAATTTTCTTCTGATGTTTCTAGAAGGTACAAATACACATCAAGGGCTAAACTTACTTTTATTTTTTCAACCGATAAAACATTTACAAATTTAAACTACAAAAATATAAAAATCACAATTAAGATGATCTTCATTCACCGTGTTTCCCACCTTCTCCCCTCATAGGAAATCCCTGTAATTGGATTAGATGTAACTTTTTCGTGTTATTATTCAAATATTACCAACTACTCTGTACATATTTTTATTCTCTTATTTCTTACATGGAAACAGGCATAGACAGCTCATTGCTTTTTATCATGTAGCAGTATCTTGACCCTAATAACCATTTTGGTACGGAAAAAGCTTTATGTTACCTCCATCAAATTTGTTTTTTTTTTCTTTATTTAAATTTACTGGTACATTATATGTATATAATGGTCACATTCATCATAGGGAAGTTTTACCTGTACCCAATATATTTTGCTATCTTTTTTTTTTTTTTTTTTTTTTTTTTTTTT